GCCTAGGTATGGGGCCTGCCTCCTGCCACCCGGGAGCAGGCCTAAGCTGGCAGGTCATTATCTCCCAAGGGGTCCCAGACTGGGAGAGGGCACAGGCCGGGCTGAGGGAGCTCCCCCTCCCCCCGCCCATTGAGTGCACAAATTTTCATGCACCAGGCCTCTAGTGTGTGTGTATTTATTTATTATTTTTATTTTTTTCAAAAACAGCAGGGGCAAATGCTAAAAAAGTTCTCACCTATGTTTAGAATTTACATTTACCAGTATTATTAGAAGTTGGTTTTGTCTATCTTTGCACCCAGGTTCTCCCCTCTACTGTTTTATAAGTATGACCCTGTCTTATACTCTGCATCATTCATCCACTTTTATGTGCCAGGGACCATATATGGTCAGAATTGAAAAAGTTGATCTCTTCACACAGCCTCTAGTCTGACAAGAAAAATGTGTGGCAATTTAATTCCTTAAATCCCTAAGTACTTGAACTGGTTGTGCTGGGTTAGAGTAATGACATGGGTAACTCTTACTTGCTTTGAGAAATAAATATATTGCATTTTCTTTATTTGTGTGTGGGGGGAAGTAATTTCATATTCCTTAACAAGTTTCTTTAGCTGATGGTCCTAATCCTTGTGACATGGTTAAGCAACCCAGATACCGAAAGGGGCCTGACGTCTGTTTTGATAACAATGACTTGGTAAGACCAAATGTTTACTGTATTAAAATACTTTATCTCAATGGTCCTTGTCCACAAGTACTTAAAGAGCCATAGTGTTTCTCATTAACATGATGTACTTTCTGGTAAATAGATTTTTCATTTCAATATTTTTCATGGTTAGAATAAGCTTACCAGTTGCTTCTTCTATCTGTCCTTCCCACAGAAATTGTACTTTCAAACACAATTCCAATCAATTCACTAATAACCCAACATTACAAATCTGATGATTTTAAAGACTTTCATGGACAGTAAATGTTACGTATGGTATATGAGTTGTCTACCTTCATTTATATTCCAACCTCGAAGACATAAAAGTTATTTTTATTAATTTGGGTTTATTCAGGGTATTTAAAAACCTGTTAAATGGCTATTATCTAATTGTTTTATAATTCTTTTTTTACATGGTTTCTGATTCTGTCATAGATTAGATTTATATTATTTCTCTTAACTATTCTTATATTGTTTGAAATTAGACTAGGTCAATTACACAGGGTTAAGTTGATAACATATTAAATATGCTTTGTAAAATTTTATTTAACAAACTGCTAATATTCCTATAGGTCAGCTGTCTTCCTCTAACACTATTCTCACTGTGTCGATAATCAGCTTTATGCTTTTAAAATTATTTTAGTTAAGAAACTTTATTCTCAAACATAAAGGTTACAAAATGCCTGTCCACTTTCAAAAATTAATTTTAAATATAATATTCAATTCTCTGATTCTTCAAGGTGTGCCTTTGCATTTAGTGGTTTGCACACAGAGACCGTTATTATCTTTGGCCCTAATTTTAGAATATAATAATTCCTATCATGTACTGATTGATGTGTATAGAGATTTTTATTTATTTAGAGTAGACTTGCTTACTATGTACTTAAGCATTTCCATAGATACATATTATGCAATTAGATAATTTAAATTATAATTGGTGCAAAGAAGAAAATCTGGAGAATAAGGCTAAAAAAGCAAGATGTTTTAGCAAGTATATCTCTGTTATCTCTGACTCTTCCCTTTGATGGGGTTTTACTTCAGAATTGCTAATTGTTCTTTTTCATTTTACCCAGTTAGAATTTTAAAAAATTCTATGAGGACTTATTGTTTTATCTACTACACCTTCAGGAGCTTTGCCCTTGTCAAATCATTCCCCAAAGAATGTTGTATGTGGGCCCAAGGGTAGCATCGCTCATCAGCTATTTACCATCAAAGACTGAGGTTAAATTCCTTCAGATGAACTTTAAAGATCATATAAAATCCCTATTACTCAAAAATATTTTTACCCTATGAAGCTCTATATTTAAGACAAAAATGTTCAAATTCCTATAAATTATACAGTGGATTGTGGGTGAAAGTACAACTCTTGCTCTGTAGCTTAATGTGCTAATAATGTCTGTGTTTCCTTAGCAGTGGACTATTTCAGTGATGCTTGTTTGCAATGGTCACTGTGAATCCGCTCTGGATGGAGGCCCACATAAACTGCTAACTGCCAGCAAATTGCATGAAATCTCATCTTGTATGTCTTCTTTTCTGTGTTTTCTTTCTTTCTTCCTGTTCTTGCTACTTTGCCTGTTATTAATAGGATCAACTTATATGCACAACGAGTCGTGCCTGTACCATGATGTCAACTCCTATCTTCATTTTACTGCAAGTTTTCATGTGGTGTGGATGGTCAGTCACTTTCTCTAATTTTTCTTTGTTTTTGTGTTTGGCTCGAAATTTAAAAAAATAATCCATATCCCTAAATGTCCTGAAACCAGGTTATTAAAATACCAGTGCTAATTATAAATAGCTAATTTCAAATGTTGCATAAGTTTCTAATCTTAAACTGAACACAACATTCTATATTTAAAAATCAGTATTTTCTCAGTTTTTTAAAAAAAAAATAAGTCAATGTGGAAAAAAATTATACAAGCTTCATAATGTCTCAATTTTACTAAAGAGAAATACCTTAAGGACAATTACTAGAGCTGGTCATCTCCATTTAATCATTACTTAATAATTCAATCATTCTACTTTTTTTCTTTTTTAAACAACTTTTTAGATATTTACTACCAAAATTTTGATGCTCTTACTGTATAAGTGCTCCCAATTTCATTTTACTTAAATATCACTTACATTATCTAGGGCAAAATAATCATTATTTATTAACCTTTTGCCATTTACTGAATTACATAATCAATGTAACTAAATAGATGTTTTAGGGCCTGAGTTTGTGTTCAGGGTTTTATTTATAGTTTTGCAGTTTCTTTTCTGATGGCCTTGATTCACCCTGGTTATTATTACTAGGACCACTTTGGTTGTGTTTGTTCTTTCGTCATTGTTGTCCAGGTAGTCATTGATTAGGAAGCCACTAGATGGAGATGTGGCCATTACTATGGATGGAGTGAGCTTATCAGAGGGAAAAGGGAGTGGCAGAAGGATATTCAGAAAACAACTGCATTTGTCCTGGGATAATAATGGAATTTTTTTTTTTTTTTTTACTGTGAAAACCAAGTGAAGAAACCTATCTGGTTTAAATACTAAAAAATATACCAAAATTAAACTCTCTGTATGAACATTTTTTAAAAAAAATATCATTCTCCCTTACCCTGGCTGGTGTGGCTCAGTTGGTTAAGCATCGTCCCCTGCACCAGAAATCATCGGCTCTGTTCCCTGTCAGGGTACTTTCCCTGGTTGAGGGCAATCCTCAGTAGGGGGCATGTAGGGTTTTTTAATAAGTAACTGAAAAGTGAAAATAGGAATGAGGAATTCTCGGTGTATCTTTTTAAGATTTCTTTGAGAGACAACCCTGGAAAAAATCTACTAAAATTACTCTATTGTGTGTGTGTATATATATTCTAGAAAGATAGATAGATAGATAGATAGATAGATAGATAGATAGATAGATATTTAGATATATATAATATTAGCACTGTATAATCTGTCATACTGAAACAAGGTACCAAGCTTTTATTTTCTACTATAGTAATCTTTTAAAAAATCAGACTTGATTGATCTGGTCATGATGTTAGTGGGAGTTTGGTCGCTTTAAAACAGAGAATGCTGAAGTTCCACCCATACCAATGCATTTGTGATTTGGAATGTTTTTAGAATATAGCTCATAATTTACTTGCATGGAATAATTTCAAGTCTTGGTAAATGTAGTTGCCCATGCAAAATGCATGAGAAAGCACGATCAGGACACTGAAGAGGCAGATTTTTTAGTGTGAATCAACTTACAGATTTCAGGGACTCCAAATAACTTATCTAAACTACCACCTTGCAGGCTAAAACAGACATATCTCATCATCACACAGGGGAAATGAGCCCCCACCCCCCTCAAAAAACAAACACACATTTGAAAATAAAGAAAATGGATTCAAGCCAGAGAGAATATTTTTCTTTCCATAATACCTTTCTAGGATAATTTTTACATTAATAAGAATTTCTTTGATAAACATATCTTTAATGAATTAATGGGTCTTGTTTGTCGTCTAATTTTCTCTTCCATCAAAAACCAAACAACTTATAAGCATATATGCATGGCCTAGGGTGGGGTTGGAGATGGGTGAAGGGGGGGAAAATAGGGGACATCTGTAATACTCTTGACAATAATTTTTTTAAAAAAAAAGCAGAAGAATAACATGAAAAAAAAAAAACACCACTTAACTAAAACTTAGGAGACACTCCTGGTATAATGACAAGCTTTAAGTTAGTATTTTGTGTTTGTAACTAATCAATATATGTGCTGCTTTACTGAGCGCCTACTATTAAGTACTTACTTGTGAGATATTGGAGGTATGTATAAATTAAAAAATTATTTTCAATTGAAACATAATTAAGAACCCTGTTTTTAATCTGGTAACCCGACCTACAGGGGAAAGTATCTGAACAAAGAGAAGAACGAGTACAAAAGTCCCGAGATAGTAAACACCTTCGCCTCTTGCAGAAACAGGCAGTGTTATCAGAGCGGAATGAGTGGTGAGGGCGAAGCTGGAAAGACAGCCAAGTCCCAGACCATACAATGCTCTGTCGAGAAATTCTGCTCTAAGAGCGATAAGAAATTTCAAGAAAGGGGGTGAAATGATTTGATGTATGGTTTTGAGAAGACTGCTTTATGAGAAAAGATCATAAAAGGACAAGAGTGGAAGCAATGAGGCAGGCTTGCAGGAGTCTAGGCAAGAAGTGATGGTGACTTAGACATGAGAAGTAGTAGGTTTGGGGATATATTTTGAAGCTAGAAGACATGTTGATGGATTAGACTTGATAAAAAGGGAGGAAACACAGATGACTTGTCTGACCTGATCCACTACTCCTAAATGTGTCATTTAGAAAAATCATGTTTTGGGGCAAGCTTCATATCTTTCTGAGCCCATATAAGAGTAGAGGTGGTAGAGATCAATGAATTTGGAGGTCAGAGGAGAATGTAGGGCAAAAGATATAAAAATGTGAGTAATTGAGGTGCTGGTCCAAAGTGGTGACATAGTAAGCCCCAAGACACACCAAACCTACACCTATAAACCGAAATTCCTTCTGAAAGAAATCCGGCTGAGTGACCCCTATACTTTGGATGAACAAGAAAATAGCCACATTGCAATGGGAGGGAAATGCTGAGACATACTATCACCATAAGCCTCACACCTGGCACATCAACCTAAAATCAGGAGCCAACTACCAGGTTCTTCCTGAAGACGGAAGGGTTTCGATTGAAGATTTCCACCTGACGATGGGCCCCCAAAACACCTAGCTCTCAAAGCCACTAGGGGCTTGCATCCGTGAGACCCACAAGACCATAGCAAACAAAGGAAAAGTTTTGAATGGGCCCATGAGGGCTCACTACCACCATCCTCCCAGGGCTCAGAGAAGAGAGAGCAGCCAGAAATGCCTTCTCCCAGTCTTTCCCTGCCAGAGGATATTCGCATTCTTTAAAAGCTCTTGCCTGAGAGTAAATCCTCTAATTTAGCACATATTTAGGAGCTGACTGTAGTCCTCCCTGAAAGGCTGGA